TGGAGGCTTCTTGGGGCGTCCTGCAGTCTGGAGGGCGTGAAGACGTTTTGGACTGATCGTTTGCCGATTGGGAGCCCTCTTGGACCGTCTCGGGGGCCTCTTGGGGCACTCTTGGCCTGTCTTGGTACTGTCTGAGGCCCCGGGACCCCCAGGGGGGGATGCGTATCTGACCTGGGACCCCTCCCTGGGACCCCCCTCGCGACTCTCCTTCCCGGCAGGGGAGGGATCAAAAGGAAGGTGCTTCCCTTCGACTCGATAGCGACATTGCTAGACAGTGCTAGATTCTATAGGCTTACGCCACATCCGCCGACCCCTCTATAAACTACTGCGCGTCCAAGACTGCATTCCACGACCGTGTTGGAAGCACTTGTTGGGCTTCTTGGGGGGCTCCTGGGGGGCTGTTGGGGGCGTTTTGGGGCCTTGTTGGGGCTTCTTGGGGGTTTCTTTGGGGCAACCTGGGGGCGTCTTGGAGCGGAAGGCTGGAAATTTCCGTGCTGGTTCCCCTCTGGGCTCTTTTTTGGGGCCGTCCTGGGGCCTCTTGGGCCGTCTGGGCTTTCTTTTTAGTAGTCTAGGGGCCTTCTTGGGCCGTCTTGGAACCCTCTTGGAGGCCCTTTGGGCCGTCTTGGGCGTACCGAACACCCAAGAGCGGATGTGCTTGAAATATACGCTTTCCGTCGGGAATAGGGCGATTTTTGTTTCTGGGGGCCCTCTTGGAAGACCTCTGGAGGCCATTTTGGGCCGTCTGGGGGTTATTGTGGGCGTCTTGGAACGACTTTTCGGCGACGATGGGCCCTGTGGGCCCGTGTTGGGGACCTGTTGGAACGCCCCAGGGCTTGTCTTGGAGCTCCCAAGCGAGCCTGGGGAGGGCCAGACCCTCCCTGGTGAGTTCAGCCGGGGGTCATGCGCGGCCTAAGGGGGGGGGTCAGATTTCTGGTTTGGGGTCCCAGGGGGAGGATTATGGGGGGGAGAGAATCTCACACGCCTAGAGACTCACAAGGGGTCGGCGGATTTTTCTCTCGCTGACAAGCTTGAGGAGGAAGGTGCAGGGAAAGGGGACGACGGAGACGACGGCTGACGGAGACGATGACTCGAACAGTTAAGCCCCTTTCACACGCCGACAGGGTCGGCGTTTTTTTGACTTCCAAGTTTAGTGGCCAGAAGTGCTTTTCGTGGAGCAGTGCCACGGACGTTGGGCGGTTCCTTTTCAGAAATGGATCATTTATTAGAAACGCTTCGCGTTCACCGCTGGCCCTTTCCAGTTCTTGTCGGGTGTGTTGAAGATGGCCGAACACAAAGTTCAGACGGCTCTAGATTTCTCGGGCGCGGCCCAAGGGGGCCTTCAAATGAGCGAAACGAAGGGCTTGAAGAGGGCCGAGAAGTCGCTCCATCTCATCGTCGAGTGGTCCCAGGAGTGCCGCGTGTCGGCCGACTCGTCGCCCCCGTCGCGAGTGTCAGGGATGCTGGCGCTGTTCTGTCGTATTCCGCTGGGCGAATACCCTCCGTCGGTTCGAGGACCCGCCCCACATGAATCTAAGATGGCTTGAAGACAGCCCACTTGAGGCCAAGAAGTGCCCAAGAGGGCCCCGAGAAGAGCCAGAAAGGGGTGAAGATGGGCCCAAGGCAGCGCGGCGGGCTTCTGGACGGCCCAAGCCTTTAATTGAGAACATGCCGGTACCTAGGCCTGTTTGGGCATCGTTTTGGGGGCGAAGTTGGGCCCAGAATCGTCGAAGATTGGCCCCAGAGCTCGTCCAGAAACGCCGGCGAACGTTGCATGCTGGAAAAAGCTCCAGAGGAGCCCCAAAGAAAGGTAGAAGCTGCGTCCGGGCGACCATCGTGGAGGCCAAGATTATCAGAAACCTTTGGGTCTGACATGTTTTTGGAGGTGCCAGGTTATTGCCGAAGTTGGGCGTGTCGGTTCTGGAGATCAAGAAGGGGTCCCGACGGGGCCAAAATGGAGCCGAGATCTGGCCCGAATGCTTGTTGAGAACGGTCTGAAATCAGGCCAGCCACAACTGGGGGAGCTGTGGTCCTTACCCCCCTGGGGGACCCATCGATTTCGACACCCCTCTCGAGAGATCGTCGAGGCGATGGGTTCCCTCAGGGGGGTAAGGGGTAAGGACCACAGCTTCCCCAGTTATGGCTGGTCGGGAACTTCGAGCTCGTCTTGGACGCCGTTTGGAGATCGTTCTGGGGACCGCACAGGGGATGGGGTGCAGCATGGCGGCGGAAGGGCGGGGGTCTCTCTGGGTGGGAATTTACCTAACAGCTCTTGCTGATAGGTTTCTAGTGGTCTCAAAAGAGAGCAGCAGATGACTCCACAGGGGGGTCGGGGCGGGACCCGGGCGGCTGCCGCCGAAGCCCAAATCGCTTGGGACATCCTCGCAAAATCGCTCTTGGCGCTGCTAGAACTCCATTCCCGGCGTACATTTTGGATGCCCGGAGCCAACTGTAGGCCACTTCGTGGTCTTCGAGTTCCCAGAACTCCATTCCCGGGCCACATTTTGGATGCCCGGAGCCAACTGTAGGCCACTTCGTGGTCTTCGAGTTCCCAGAACTCCATTCCCGGGCCACATTTTGGATGCCCGGAGCCAACTGTAGGCCACTTCGTGCTCTTCGAGTTCCCAGAACTCCATTCCTGGGCATGATTTTGAATGCCCGGAGCCAACTGTAGGCCACTTCGTGTTCTTCTAGTTCCCAGAACTCCATTCCCGGGCCACATTTTGAATGCTGAGGCAGGCTGATGCTGCGGCTGAGGCAGGCTGAGGCTGAGGCAGGCTGAGGCTGAGGCCGAGGCTGAAGGCAGACTGAGGCTGAGGCTGAAGCAGACTGAGGCTGAGGCTGAGGCAGGCTGAGGCTGAGGCTGAAGCAGGCTGATGCTGAGGCAGGCTGAGGCTGAGGCTGAGGCTGATGCAGGCTGAGGCTGAGGCAGGCTGAGGCTGAGGCCGAGGCTGAAGGCAGACTGAGGCTGAGGCTGAAGCAGGCTGAGGCTGAGGCTGAGGCAGGCTGAGGCTGAGGCAGGCTGAGGCTGAGGCTGAGGCAGGCTGAGGCTGAGGCTGTGACTGCGACTGCCGTTGCCGCTGCGACTGTCATCGCGAATGCGACTACGACTGCGAGAACAGCAGAATTCTACAACTGGATTTTCATCTGAATCTTAAGGGGAATGCTTTCAGATATGCTTCTACACATCGCTGTTAGGTTGCTTTGCCGGGATGATTTTATAAAGCGCGGGGCTGCAGCCCTGCATGGAGCTCTACAGGTTGATTTGAGTTTGATGCTGCGCTCAGCCCGGTGGGCGGGCAGGTTGGTGACACGGATGGGGGTGGTTCCCTTCCAAAGCAGGGCTCTCATTGGGTGCACCGTTCATTCCGGTGGCCTGCGCCATTCCGCCGACCCCCGGGTTGGACCTGTTGGAGGGCTCGTGGGGGAATCCGGCGGGCTTTTTGGGGAGGGCCCACTGGGGGCTTCTCGGGGGCCTCGTCGAGACATCCAAGGACTTTTTTGGAGGCGCCTCGGGGACCTCCGGGGGTCTCTTGGAGCCATCTTGAGAGGACAGGCTCGAAATGTTAATTCGTGTTTCCCCCCTTGGGCGGCTCTTAGGGCCATCTTGGCGCTCTTTCGGGCCGTCTTGGGAGCCGCTGGGGCCGTCTAGGGGCCCTTTTGGGCCGTCTTGAGGCCGTCTCGGGGGCCTCATGGGCCGTCTCGGGACGATCTTTGGGGCTCCTGTCAAAAAGAAAAGGCGAGTATGCGGTACATATACGTTTTCCAAAGGGATTGTGACGATCGCTTCTTGGGTCCCCTTCGGTGTTTCTCGGGGAGCACTTGTGGGCCCTCTTCGGGGCATCGTGGGCCGCCTTCCAGCCCCGGCTCGATATTCACTTGGACTATCTTGGCGCTCTGCTTGGGACCTTTTGGGCCGTCTTGGGGGTTTCTGGGGTCTCCGGAAGCCCTGGGAGAAGCGTTGACGAGCTCATGGGCCCCGGGGGGTGGGGATGGCTTAAACGGGTTTTTGGAGCCTAGGGGAGGGGGAAAGGGGGATGGGTGACAGCTAGATGTCTCGCACGCCTTGTCAGTCCCCGCAAGCGGGTGTCAGCAGGTTTTCTGGGCTCCTACACCTTTCCGCGCTCCATGTGGATCGCTCGAAGGATGCAAGGCAGTTTCTCTTCAAAGCGGGGCTCTCGCCTGAAGGGCATGCCCACAGAGTGCTCTCCTTTGCAGCGGGCGCTTCTTGTGGTGAAACGTAAGGCTTGTAGGGACTTCCGAGGATGGGACTTGGGACGGGGAGGTGTATTGCAGTGTCGTTGATGCATCCTGGGCTTACTCTGGTCCTCCCATTCCTCATCCTCCTCTCTTTCCCCTCCGCCTCCTCCGCCCCGCCTCCACCTCCTCCTGCTCCTTCCTCCCCCCCACACTTCTCCGCACCCTTCCTCAAGGCAGCCAAATGGCGTAGGTTAATGAGAGGCAGCAGCAACACAGGCGAGCAGGAGGAGGAGGAGGAGGAGGAGGAGGAGGAGGAGGAGGAGGAGGAGGAGGAGGAGGAGGAGGCCGTGACGCCGCTGGCACGCGCCTCCCTGTTTGTCTAAGAAAGAAAAGGAGGAGGACGAGGAGGAGAAGGAGGAGGAGGAGGAGGACGAGGAGGAGGAGGAGGAGGAGGAGGGCAGGAGCATGAAGCGCCGTCGGCAGATATTCAGTGATCTTTGTTTGAGAGAGCAGGTTCCGACGACGGGCTCTTTCCGATCACACCTGAGAGGTGCGCGCCATCCTTGCTACCCGCCTCGTGGATGAGGCGGAGGAGGATCGGCGAGTCTGCTTGCGGCTGCACTGGAGGGCCTGTAACGCCAGCCGCCAGAGAAAGGGGGCGGCAGTACACTCACATTCGGTGCGAAATTATGTCATCCTCCTATCCCTACTCACGGTATTGCCCCGCCCCCTCCGCTACTTCATCTTTCATTTGCCTCCTATCTTCCGAGTTGTCCATATTGCCGAGGACCGCAAGTTGCGACATGCAGATCTTCTCGCTCTGCATACTGTTGTCTTCCTATTTCATTTACAACTCGATGGGGGCAATCGATGAGCAGGCCATGGTTGTTTCGACTGGTCAGTACGCACTCCGTCTCCGATGCACCGCGCCTGCCTAGTTGCATGGTTCATGTCGTGTGTCGGCACCATGTGCTTCGCAGCTTCAGCATTATTACCTAACAGCGAAGACTGATAGGTTTCTAGTAGTCTCAAAAGAGAGCAGCAGATGACTCCACAGGGGGGTCTGGGCGGGTGCCGGACAGGGTGCCGCAGAAGTCGTTTTAAGCAAACAGTCGCACACTTCGTGCTCTTCGACCTCCCAGAACTCCATTCCCGGGCCACATTCTGAATGCCCGGAGCCAACTGTAGGCCACTTCGTGCTCTTCGACTTCCCAGAACTCCATTCCCGGGCCACATTTTGAATGCCCGGAGCCAACTGTAGGCCACTTCGTGCTCTTCGAGTCCCCAGAACTCCATTCCCGGGCCACATTTTGAATGCCCGGAGCCCACTGTAGGCCACTTCGTGTTTTTCGATTCCCCAGAACTCCATTCCCGGGCCACATTTTGAATGCCCGGAGCCAACTGTAGGCCCTTTCGTGCTCTTCGATTCCCCAGAACTCCATTCCCGGGCCACATTTTGTATGCCTGGAGCCAACTGTAGGCCACTTCGTGCTCTTCAAGTTCCCAAAATTCCATTCCTGGGCATGATTTTGAATGCCCGGAGCCAACTGTAAGCCACTTCGTGTTTTTTTAGTTCCCAGAACACCATTCCTGGGCCACATTTTGAATGCTGAGGCAGGCTGATGCTGCGGCCGAGGCAGGCTGAGGCTGAGGCAGGCTGAGGCTGAGGCCGAGTCTGAAGGCAGACTGAGGCTGAGGCTGAAGCAGACTGAGGCTGAGGCTGAGGCAGGCTGAGGCTGAGGCTGAAGCAGGCTGATGCTGAGGCAGGCTGAGGCTGAGGCTGAGGCTGATGCAGGCTTAGGCTGAGGCAGGCTGAGGCTGAGGCCGAGGCTGAAGGCAGACTGATGCTGAGGCTGAAGCAGGCTGAGGCTGAGGCTGAGGCAGGCTGAGGCTGAGGCTGAGGCAGGCTGATACTGAGGCAGGCTGAGGCTGAGGCTGTGACTGTGACTGCCGTTGCCGCTGCGACTGTCATCGCGAATGCGACTACGACTGCGAGAACAGCAGAATTCTACAACTGGATTTTCGTCTGAATCTTAAGGGGAATGCTTTCATATATGCTTCTACACATCGCTGTTAGGTTGCTTTGCCGGGATAGTAGTTTCAAAAGAGAGCAGCAAATGAATCCACAGGGGGGTCTGGGCGGGTGCCGGACAGGGTGCCGCAGAAGTCGCTTTAAGCCAACAGTCGCACACTTCGTGCTCTTCGACCTCCCAGAACTCCACTCCCGGGCCACATTCTGAATGCCCGGAGCCAACTGTAGGCCACTTTGTGCTCTTCGACTTCCCAGAACTCCATTCCCGGGCCACATTTTGAATGCCCGGAGCCAACTGTAGGCCACTTCGTGCTCTTCGAGTCCCCAGAACTCCATTCCCGGGCCACATTTTGAATGCCCGGAGCCAACTGTAGGCCACTTCGTGTTCTTCTAGTTCCCAGAACTCCATTCCTGGGCCACATTTTGAATGCTGAGGCAGGCTGATGCTGCGGCCGAGGCAGGCTGAGGCTGAGGCAGGCTGAGGCTGAGGCCGAGGCTGAAGGCAGACTGAGGCTGAGGTTGAAGCAGACTGAGGCTGAGGCTGAGGCAGGCTGAGGCTGAGGCTGAAGCAGGCTGATGCTGAGGCAGGCTGAGGCTGAGGCTGAGGCTGATGCAGGCTGAGGCTGAGGCAGGCTGAGGCTGAGGCCGAGGCTGAAGGCAGACTGAGGCTGAGGCTGAAGCAGGCTGAGGCTGGGGCTGAGGCAGGCTGAGGCTGAGGCAGGCTGAGGCTGAGGCTGAGGCAGGCTGAGGCTGAGGCTGTGACTGCGACTGCCGTTGCCGCTGCGACTGTCATCGCGAATGCGACTACGACTGCGAGAACAGCAGAATTCTACAACTGGATTTTCGTCTGAATCTTAAGGGGAATGCTTTCATATATGCTTCTACACATCGCTGTTAGGTTTCTTTGCCGGGATAGTTAATAGGGAACAATGATCCAGTTACCCCCTCCCCGCCCGCAGGCCGTCTCGCTCACTCCCACCCGCCCTCCCAACACATACGTAGCACCCGAGTCTGGCCCGAGCTTGAGCATATTCAGCAGTCGTCTTGGGATGGGCAGCTACTGGGGGCCAGTCCGCCGCCGCCGCCGCCGCCGCCACCGCCGCCGCCGCCGCCGCCGCCGCCGCCCTCCGCTGCCAAACCGCCGCCGCCGCCGCAGCCGCTACCGCCACCGCGACCGCCGCCGCCGCAGCCGCCGCCGCCGCCGCTGCCGCCGATTCAGCCGCCGCCGCCGCCGCCGCCGCCACCGCCGCCGCCGCCGCCGCCGCCGCCGCCGCCCCCCGTTGCCAAACCGCCGCCGCCGCCGCAGCCGCTGCCGCTGCCGCCCCCGCCGCCGCCGCCGCCGCCGCAGCCGCAGCCGCCGCAACCGCCGCCACCGCCGCCGCAGCCGCCGCAGCAGCCGCCGCCGCCAAGTGTACTCTGTATTGTTTTTTTGACAGGGATGTTGGGGGAGGCCGCATCGGGTTGGCTGCGCATGTTCCGAATTTGGAAGCAGAGTGTGTTTTGTATTGTATTTTTTTGCAAGGGATGGGGGGGGGTCGGCATGGACCCTGGTTGGCCCCCAGTCGCCTGGGGAAGGGGTGTTTATTAATAAGGAACAGTGATGAACCCCTCCCCGAAAGGGAAGAAGGAGGGGTGGAAGAGGAAACTTTCTAAACCACCGACGCCCAGAGGGTTGGTGGGATTACGAGAGCGACCGGCACCAACCTCCGTGCCCCTTGGCTGGAGCAGCTACCTCGACCAGCAGGGACGACGCTATTACCACCACGCGGCCCTAGAAACAACGAAAGCTGCCGCGCACATGCGAGGACCATCACCAGACCAGATCCGCCGCCCCTCCGCAGCTGATTCCAGAAGCCAACTGAGCCACCAGGGCCAGCACCAAAACTACGAGGACCACGAACAGAGTTACACGGACACTGAGCGGGCACCTGGGCGCGCAGAGCTACGAGAACCACCCCCTGTTCCCCAAGGGCTGCCAGATAAGCTAGCCACCACCAGAGCTTTCAAGGACCACCAGCTAAACGACCAGTGCCACCGGAAATACCCGGGCCAACAGCTGACCTACCAGGACCGCCAGCTGAACTACGAGGGCTGCAACCTGAGCTGCCTTGGCCACCAGCTGAACTACTAGGGGCACCAGCGGAGATGCGATGGCTACCTGCTGAGTTATGAGGGCCACCTTAGCTACGAAGGCAACAAGTTGAGCTACAATGGCCACCGGAAGAGCTTCGACCACTATATCCACGCAGTATCGCAGCCAACTACTGGGACAAATGGGACAGAATGCCAGCTGCGGATCCACACCATAGAGGCCGTCTACGAAGCGGGCCGCATCTCACACGACGAGTACAAATAATGCATCGCCATTGCGCGCGGTCGTGTGACAGTCCTGCCTGCTGCTTTACAGGAACTACCACATACTCTTCGTGTGGCGCCTCACGATGATGATGGTGAGAACGGCCAACCTTTAGCTGGACCGCTCCAGGTGCAACTACATTGTTTTTCAACCAGGAGGCTACCACGCCACCGCGTCTACAGCGGCACCGACAAGGCACGCCACGTACGTTGATACCGCCAAAATCTTTCATCATCCACGAATCCGACGACATCCCATGAGCGGCCCGGCCGCTCCTCCTCTTCCCTTTTCTTCGGTGGGCTTCAGGGGATGATGATGTTGGGTGGCCCTCCCTGCTCCACCCGTCTTCTGGTGGACTGGGTGGTTCCCGCGCCTCCGCCCCCGGCGTGCGCGCGCGACGGCGCGGCGGCGCCGGGTGGAGATGCTTGGTGGCGTTGCGTAATTAAGCAAGGTTAGACAGCAAGGCTGAGGACGTTGATGAGGAAAAACATATGTTTTGAGGAGGAACAGGAGGGTGAGTTTCTTGATCCGGTCGCGTGCTTGTCGTGGGCTGGTCAGACCGCCCAGTGGGGCCGCCGTCTAAGGCTCCGGGCCGTCGGTCGAAGAGGCTGCTGCAGGCGGACAGCAGGGTCAGGGAGGAGCGCCGCCCCTTTCCGACCGACCGCTGCCACTGGGACACGGGCGATAAGGACGATGATGATGATGCCGATGATGATGATGATGATGATGATGATGATGATGATGATGATGATGATGATGATGATGCTGGTGATGATGATGGTGTTGATGATGATGACGATTGTGATGGTGATAATGATGGTGATTGTGAATCATGGTGATAATGATGTTGATGATGAAAAAAACGAAAAGTTGGATGAACGGAGAGGACGAGGAGGAAGAGGAGGAGGAGGAGGATGGAAAGGACGAGGGGTAGGACGAGGAGGAGGAGGAAGAAGACGAAGAGGAGGAGGAGGAGGAAGAGGAGGGGGCTTACGATTGCCTTTTACTGTTTGCCTTTAAAAAAAGGAGGCGGAGGAAAAGGAAACATATGGTGATGATGATGATGATGATGATGATGATGATGATGATGGTGATGGTGATGACGATGTTGTTGTTTGTTGATCACGAGTGTGATCATGATGATGATGCTGATGATGATGATGATGAAGATGATGGAGATGATGGTGATGATGATGATGATGATGATGATGATGATGCCAACGATGGTGATTATGATGATGGTGATGATGCTGACGATGATGATAATGATGATGCTGAGGAGGAGGAGAAGGATAATAATGGTGATGATGAAAGGATGAGGAGGCGGAGGAAAAGGAGGAAGCGGAAGAGGAGGAACATGAGGAGGAGGAAGAGGAGGAGGCGGAGGAGGAGGATAGGGCTCACGTTTCAGGTGCATGCGCTTTGCAGCTTGCCTGATAAAAGGGAGGCAGAGGAGAAGGAGGAAGAGGAGGAGGAGGAGGAAGAGGAGTATCATGATGGTCATGGTGATGATGATCATGATCATGATATGATGATTATGGTGATGGCGGTGGTGGTGATGGTGGTGGTGGTGGTTGTTGACTACTGATTAATAACTGATGGTGGCTGGTGATGAGTAGGAGGCTGGGGAGGAAGAACGTGCGGGGGGGGATGCATCCCTGGCCAGGCGGTTCTGCCCTGCCTGGGGCGCGTGACGAGAGGACGAAGTTGAGGAGGAGGAGGAGGACGAGGAGGAGGGGCAGGAAGAAGAGGAAGGGGAGGAGGAGGAAGAGGAGGAGGGGGAGGGGGAGGAAGAGGAGGAAGACGAGGAGGGAAAAGGAAGAGGAGACGGAAAAGGAAGAGTAGGAGGAGGACCACAATAAACCCACAAATCATTGGTAATGCTTCAATGCGCCCTCCCAGCCCAAGTCCTCTCATCACAAGTCACCGAAAGTATTCGTTCTGACGGTGGCCCCCCCCCTGAACGACGAGAGGTCCGTGGGCGTACGTTGAAGCAAGAGCCCCATTTTGAAAAGGAACCGCTTGGATATGGCCAAGCGAAAAACCAGATTTGAAAAAGAATCACTTTCAATTCATGCAACTGTTGCTCATGACCAAAGTAATATTGGTCACAAAGTTGAAGAAGTCTCAAGCGAGAGCCCCACGTTGAAAAGAAGCCGCCCTTAATTCATACAACTGTGGCACAACCTGTCGCCTCTGATCAGAAATAATGATGGCTGCCATGCAGGAGCCCCGCTTTGAAAAGGAGCCGCCCCCCATCATTGTAACTGCTGGAAGTTTTCTGAGGCGACTCTCCGCGGCGATGAAGTGATGAAGCGAAACTCACATCTTGAAACCGGCCCTCCCGCCATCCATTGAATTGCTAGAAGTTTTTAGGACGAAAGTGCGCGGCGACAAAACGATAGCCACATCTTGAAGATGACCTGCCTGCGGTCCGTGTGAGTGCGCGTCGCTCATGCGAGAGCCACATTTGAAAACCTCCCGCCCTCAATCCTTGTAGCTGTTGGACATGTTTACGTCGAATGAACGCGCCGTGAGGACGCTATCCATTCCTGTACCAGTTTCAACTCTCAGGGTCGCAACCAGTGCTGAAGAATCAGGCGAGACGCCCAGCCCGCCCTAAGGACACGCTGGTTGGTTCGACGAGGATGGGTTGTTGTTGAGCCCGCAGAATGTGAGCTACGGCGGGCCCCTCCTCCTCCTCCTCCTCCTCCTCCTCCTCCTCCTCCGCACGCAGATTTTGCAAGCAGTAGGCGCTCGGGGGCGAGGGTCGGGCGGTCTTGGGAGCTCACTGCACGCGGGATGCCCTCGGGGCTCCACGAGGCACGAAGTGCGCGGAGAGTGCTCCGATCGGTATCGTTTAACCGATCCCCATCCCCATCCCCATCCCCTACGAGACCCCCACCAAATTACCCCCCCAGTTGGGGATACACCCCTCGAAACCCGAAGGGAACTGCCTATATCCCCATCTAGGGGGGTTAATCGGCCAGTGGGGCCCAGGCCACGCCGCTGGGGATGGGGGTCGGATAAACGATGCTCATCCGAGGTAAAGTTTTCATCAGGGGGTCGAGCGGCTTCACGCCCCCCGCCCCCCCACCCTGGCGAACATTTCGCTGGATTTGTGTACCCACCCACCTTGCGGCGGGCGCGCGTCGCGGAGAAGCATTCGCCCTCCCTCCGCGGAGCCAGGAACTTGCGGAATGCGTTTTGGGGCATCGGTCTGCGGCATTGTTTTCGACAACCGCCCTCCCCCGCGAGCCAACAATAATGCGAACTGCGGCTTGCGCTGAGCATCTTTATTTCCGCACCCACCCACCCGCTCACACTGTTTTCGGGGTAACACGTGTCACCTTTGTGTCGTTTCACGCTAAATGATCCGATGCTAGGCGTCCAGACTACGAGGAGTGAAACAATCGATGTCTCGAACAGAGTTCGGGATGGCACGTATCACCCTTGTGTTGTTTCACACGGTATGGCCCCATGCGTCCAGAATGCGAATGAACCACTTGATGTTTCGTCACACTTTTTTTACGGGTGACACGTGTCACCTTTCTGTTGCTTCACATTGTATGATCCCATGTCGGCGTGCAGAATACGTGTGAAACAATCTGCGTTTTCTCAAACAAGTCAAGGTTTCCATGTTCACTTGATTTTCACATGGCGCACGCGTGCGCGCGTACGCGCGCCCGCCCGCTCGATAAGGAAAGAGTATTGTGTCACAACACATCATACGATGATGAGGCCTAGAGTGCGAGTGAAACAATTGGTTTTCACCGTTCAGCTTTCAAAGGTAAGTTGGGCATGCCCACTAGATTTCTATGTATTGTCACATGGCGCGCGCGCGCCCGCGCAATAAGGAATCAGAAGTAACGTGTGTGGTGCCAGAATGAATCCTATCATGCTGAGGCCTAGAAGGCGAGTGAAATGATTCGCTGACGCCGGTCATTTTTCGAGGTCTAGTTGGAGCTGTTCAGTTGATGTTCATATGGCGCATGCGTGCGCGCAATAAAGAAAGCGTATCGTGTCACAAAACATCATATGACAGGCCTACATTGCAAATCAAACGATTCGTATTAAGAATTAAGTGTTCGACATTAAGTTAATTTGATATGGCGCACGAACGCGCGCACGCCCGCGCAATACGAAGCGTGTAGCGTGTCACAATACAGCATACGACGTTGAGGCCAAGAATGCGAGTGAAGCAGTAGATGGTTTTCACCGTGCAGTGTTCGAAGTTAAACCAGCCATTTTCAAATGATTCGTGTATGACGCACGCGTGCGCGCGTACACGCGTACGCCTGCGCAACAAGGGAGGCCTACCGTGTCGCAGTACATCATATCACGTTTGGCCTGGGAAGCGAGGGACACAGTTTGTTTTCATCATTCAGTTTGCCCTGTCCACTTGTTGTTCATATGGTGCACGCGTGCGCGCGCTCGCCCGCGCAGTAACAAAAGTGTATGTCATTATACAGCGTACCATGCCGAGGCCTTGAATGCGAGTGAACCAGTTGTTTTTCACCACAGATTTCGAAGTAACTTTGGCCATTGCCAATTGATTGTCATGTGGCGCACGCGTGCGGGCTTGCGCGCGCACGCCCGCGCAGTATGGAACGTGTATTGTGCCACAATGCATCACATCATGCTGACTGCCAGAATGTGAATAAACAGTTGGTTTTCACGTTCGAAAGTCATACGAGAATGCGTCGTCGTTGTCGCCCCGATCCTCTCCTTCTGGCGAACATGCATCGGGGAATTTGTGTTGATTTGCAACGTGGCCCACCCTGGGGGGCGCCGCCAATTTAGGGAAAACTGTTCGCCTTTCTGCGATTGTTCTTGAATTCACCTCTTCGGGGCTGCCAGCAGCTTGCGGGAAACCCGTTCCCTTTTCAACCACTCGATGAGAAGGAGCAGCAGGAGGAGGAGGAGGAGGAGGAGGAGGAGGAGCGAGGGTGCACCCCCTTCGGGGCAGTGTGCTATCTGTCTGGCGCGCCCCCTCCCCTCGGGGCATCGCGAAATTTCTCGGCGTTGCTCTCCCTCTTACAGACGTGCTGCTGCTTCGTGGGTCTCTATCTTTGCTTGGAGTCGAGGAGGAGGAGGAGGCGGAGGAGGAGGAGGGGGACGAGGAGGAAGAAGAGAAGGAGGAGCACGAGGAGCACGAGAGCAGCAGGAGGAGGACGAGGAGCACGAGGGGGGATACCATCATCATGAAGAAACATTGTGGGCGTTTCCTGCCCCGCGTCGAGTGGCGAGGGGGGTGCAGCACGAGGAGCAGCAGGAAAAGGAGGAGAAGGAGGAACGATGAGAAGGAGCAGGAGGAGGAGGAGGAGGAGGAGGAGGAGGAGGAGCGAGGGCGTTCCCCCCTCGGGGCCGTTGTGCTATCTGCCTGGTGCACTCCCCTCGGGGCATCGCGAAATCGCTCGAAGCCGCCGCCCGGGACATCCTCGCAACCACGGTGCCGCCGCTCGGGGCATCCTCGCCGCTCGGGGCATCCTCGCCACCGCGGCGCCGCCGCTCGAGACATCCTCACATCATCCGCGGCGCTGCCGCTCGGGGCACCCTCACAACCGCGGCACCGCCGCTCGGGGCATCCTCGCCACCGCGGCGCCGCCGCTCGAGACATCCTCACATCATCCGCGGC